GCAGCCATCGAAATTAGGAAATCAGTACGGATACATGACTACCATTCAGTCCTCAGATCCCATGCAAGTATTGCCAGTTGTCTCAATTTTTTTAGAAAAATAAACAATTCAGATAACTATTTTTAGTATGTCTCTAGTCTTCTTCAATCTGAAATAGTTCTTAACTATTATGACTTTCTTGACTTTCATGATCTAATGTCTTTCATTGGTAGTGTTTTACTGTAGCTCTGGTTTTGATTTATATTTATAATTCAAGGGGATCTTTTCTCTTAGAGTATGGCTAGATAAGGTGTAACGTTTTGACACCTGTGAATATGTGTGTGGGTCCATAGGCATTCAGAGAAGAGAAATACTGTAGAGTTTCTGAACCTTTGTTGCCAGGGGGGAAATCACTAAATAAAAACAATGGTGCCTAAGGAATAAAATCATGTATAATGGATACACTATTTACTAGTTTTCAAGCACATATAGCTTAGTAGTTTTAGAGTATTATTCATGCGTGTACTTGGGAATTTAAAGGAAATTAAATTAAATTTAATTTCCTTTAAATTTAATATTCCTTTAAATTATTCCTTAATAATGTTTTCTATGGAGAGTTCAAAAAATTTCATAGATGATAGTGAAATGAACCAAATGAAATTTTGCTCAATAAAACATTCTCTTTTGAACCAACATTTATATAATTAAAATTACACACTTGATAAATTTTGGTACTTTAAAACTGACAGAGTCCTTTCTAGTTTTGGTGCTCTTTCATAGTATACTATGTATTCTGATATGGCTTACTTTACATAAAATGCCAAATAATCTACTTTTTGTGAAAACTCACAGTGGGCCACAAAAATATCGGAAATAGATATAGCTGGAATTTTAGAAATAATGCTTTTCTAGATTCCACTACTCTTTTTAGCTTCTTGGAAGGATTCATGATCCCCCCAAGAAAGTTGTTACTACTTCATATTTATAATCTACACTCTAAATTCCTTCTTCCAACAATTTTTAAGAGTTCCTTATCCACCAAATCCATCTAGTTTTCCCCTTTGGATTTGTTCATCAGGGTTTACTCTATTGACTGATATTGCCCCAGTAATTCTGCTGGAATGTGTCTGAAATATTCCTCTCAGTCAGTGTATTAGGACAGTAGATTGAGGAATCACACTTCTTAAGCCTTGTACACTCAGAAGGACAAATACAGAAGGACAAATATTAGCTTAATCTGTGTTTACTTTTCTTCATATTACTTCATATTTTGAAAATTATTATAGACACAATTACATCAAATCATATTTTGGCTCCGGTTAGTCTTAGCCATGATGGACAGCCCAAATTTTAACTAAGGTATTAGAAAAATTCTTCTCATGAATATTAAAAAACTTTTATTTAAGGGTAAAACCTGCAATTATAACTAACAATTTATATGCTGATATGTTACTTCCATAGAAATGGTTCCTAATTTTCATTTAAAAAAATGATCTTATCCTTTCCTCGTTATCTTGACATATATTCTGTTTTTTGATTAAATGTATCACATTTTAATGACAAGAGAAAAGAAATAAGATATACTATTTTTAGATATTTTTAGTTGTTATAAGTATTAATTTTATTAATTTGAAATTAGTCTCCTCTCTTGTCATTCCTTAGCTATATAATGTTTAACTTGAAACAAACTGAGAGAGAGAGAATATGTATGTGTGTGTGTGACAGTGTAAGTTTAAAATTTAAAGCTCAGCTATCAGCTTTTGAGAAGCCCTCGTCCCCTCAATCATTTATCTTTGTCCTCTTCTGTCTGATGCTCACCAAAGGCCCATCTAATTATAATATTTATTATCCTATATTATTTTCTATGGGGAAAAACCAACTTATACATTTTCCAGGTCACATGACAGGTATTTCTTTATTTGAATCACTATGTCAGTATTCTTGTTTATGTATTGAGTGCTCACTGTGTGCCAGGCACTGCTTTAGGTTCTGAGATTCAGCAGTGACATAAAGAAAAATAAAACCCTTTTCTTAATTGAACTTTGGTTCTCCTGAGAATATCATCTCCAAGTAAACAGAGTTGAAATAATTCAGAGAACCTTAAATGCTATGAAGAAAGTCAAATGTAAGAGTGAGACAGTGTGAAGGCTAAGAGGGGACAATATTATATGATGTGACCAGGGAAAGCTCTGAGGGGCCACATCTGAGGAAAGTGTAAAGAATAAGGAAGATCTAGCCATGCAATGACTTGTGGTAAGAGAATTCCAGATAGAGAAATTGCTAGTGAAAAATTGTCAAAATGAGAACTAACTCATTTCTGGCTTGCCTTCAAAAACCATAATTTGGAGAATAATTCTGCTATGAGGAAAAGTGGTATCTTGAAATCTAAAGATTTTTCTTTTTGGTTATCTAGTTTCTTCAGTTGTTCAACATCCTCAATTATTACGCATAATCAAGACTGACTGTTTTAATTATTTTTTAGGAAATGTGTATCTGAGAAATTTAATTTCCTCACTCATTGATATCTAAAGGAATGATCACAAAACAGTGTAAAAATTTATGATACTGACTTCTAGGTAATAACTGAAAGAATTGTTCTAGAATCTGCACATATCAGAATGTCTCTACCAGTTTATATAAGGGATATGCATTTGAATGGATGGCATATCATAATTCTTACACATTTTTAGCTTTGGCACAGATTGTCAGACATATAGATTTTTAAGACAGAAGATAAAAAGAAGAGGAATCACTAAGAACGCACTGAAGACTTGGCATCTTATTTGTTTCCTTGAGAAAATTATGCACTATCTCTTCTTGGAGGAATTATTATAAAACTAAATTGTTTTTCCTAAAACTAAATTTCTTCCTTTATTTTCATTGGAGGTACGAAGTAAGAAGTGTAGAAAGCTCTCACATATCTCAGTTACAGGTCTAGATTGGGGTATAATACATAGTGAAAACAGTTTATTTTTATTTAAGACAGAACTTCTGTCTTCAATTCTCATTTTATAGACACTAAAAACTAAGATACAGTTCTCCTATTTTATGCATATTTTGATTCTTTATATTTTTGTCTATAAGGTAAAAAATGAACACACAAGATTGAAAATGACTTGAACATGTTTTTAAATGTAAAAACTGTAACATCTATTCAAGTCATACATGCTTATCTGTCTACCAAAGAGACCCGGTGTTACTTCTATACATCTTTATAATGTTTTTTTTAGACCAAACATAGTTGAATGCATATTACTCTACTTATTTTAATGGTTTGATACTGGACCATAGTCTCAAAGCCTACACAATACCTATGCACCAATTATGAGCATTGTTACTCATGACTCTGAACTGTTTTCACAGCTATCTCTGATAAAGTCCATAAAAGCAATCTAAGGTCAGGCTTTAATTTATATTTAAAATTTATATGTTAAAAATATACTTAAAAACCTGACATCTTATATTAGATTTGTTTTATATTTCACATCAAAACCATTACTTGAGACCAGAGGAAAGGATTCTCCTCCACACACTCAGTATGTTCAAGGAGACTTGACCTAAACATATATATTAGATGAAGGGGACAATGCTATTTCCCGTGGGTCAGTTTTTGCTTAGCCATGTTTCCATTCTACTTTAAATGTAACCTTTAAAACCCTTGGCATGGAAATGGTGGCACCAACTGCATTTACAGGAGATTGATGCTAAACCAGTAACACTCTCTATCATTCTCCCCTCTCTGTTTATGTCTCCAACCTGGAAGAGATGCCTTTCATTAGACTTATGCCTAATGCTTTAGCTTAGAGAAAGGCTACTCAAAAGTTCAGGGTATCTAGATATAGGGATTTCCTCCTTTTCATGTTCTCTCCTTGTCTTCTTCCATTTATGGAGGAATGAAGAGATGTTTTATCTCTATGTATATATTTAAATGAAATCAATATCATTATTGAAAGTCTTGAATTGACAAAATTTTTTATACATTATAGCGTACATAAAAAGTACTTAAAGGTATTTTATTGAAATATTGGTTAAAAAATCAATGGAATTCAGTACTGTTTGCTTAGGGGAAAGATTTTAGAAAGTAAAAAATACAATTGTTAGCAGAGAAAAGGTCTCTAAGTCTTGCTGATTTTTGAAGAATGAAACACTGTACTCAATCTTTTTCTGCAATACTACAGGAAGGTAATAATAGCCATGGTACTTTCAATAAGTTAGTTGTAACATATACATATCATATTAATTTATTTGAGTAAAAACTATATTTTGAATAATTTTTGTTTTTCAAGAACATTTTTTTCTGTACAACACAAAATTTTATTATTAGACATGAATAGGTCAAGGCAGGGTAAAGCAAAGCATTTTATTAAAGTAAACATTGCATAACATTTTAATTATTTGTTTTACATAAAATATCTTGTGTTTTTATATAAACCAAAATTTAAATAAACTAGTAAAAAGACACAGTTTGAAAGAATGTATAAATATAAATTTTCTCCAAACCATTTTAGGATCTCTAGGAAAAAAGTAATCTTTTTCATGTAATATTTTTTATTTTATTTTATTAAATCTTTATTGTTCAGATTACTACATTTTATGTAATATTTTTGCATAGTCTTGATTTAAAAACTGAAAACTATCACAATCCATAAATTAACTCGAAACACTCAACATCATATTGGGTTAAACCTTTTTGAAACTCTTGATTGTTTCTGTGCTTAAAAATAACAATTTCATAAGTTTCAATGAAATTGACAGACTAACATTCCTGATGTGTTAGTTTAACTATAATATGAACCATAAATGGACTCTCCCCACCTTGTAACTATATGATTTTAAAAGGCAGGATTCATTCTTACTTAATGCATAACTCTTACAGTAATGATACTTTTCAGTCTCCAGGAAATTATAGAAAAATTCACTCAATCAAAATGGCAAAGCATAGCCAAAATAAAAATAGTCACTTTTTTAATAATAGTGAAAAAATTCACAATTCAAAATTTAGAAAATACACAGTCACTTACTTTGGTAGAGTTTTCAGGTGATTTTCTCTTAACTCCAAGATCCGTAATTTGACAAGTCTATAGAAATAAATTTAAAAATTGCTTCTTATTTTTTTCTAGAAAACAATGTTACTATGGTACAATCAATAATCACTATGTATATTATCAAAACAACTATGTTCAACATTATATACCTTCATTACAGATTTTAAAGAATTATACAAATTGATTATGAATAGGGTCATATCAACATTAGACAATAATGAATATCATTTGTCAAAAGCAAATTTGACAAGTAATTTGTAAAATCAAAATTTCCAGGAAATAAATATCTTTCAAAGATATCACTTCTACATTTAATGTTTTATAAAAATATATTCACTGTTTAATTGTATATGTTCAACAGACTATTGACTATCTACTAAATTCCAAGTGCTATGTTCACTGGAACACGGCAACACTTTCCCTCAAAAGATTATACATTAACTTGTAAAGCAAATAAAATAGCATAGTGGTTAAGAGCTTGAGTTTTTCTTTGTTTGTTTTTAATATATATTTTATTGATTTTTTACAGAGAGGAAGGGAGAGGGATAGAGTGTTAGAAACATCAATGAGAGAGAAACATCGATCAGCTGCCTCCTGCACACTCCCTACTTGGGATATGCCTGCAACCAAGGTACATGCCCTTGACCGGAATTGAACCCGGGACCCTTCAGTCCGCAGGCCAACGCTCTATCCACTGAGCCAAACCGGTTAGGGCAAGAGCTTGAATTTTATGTTCAGACAGATCTGGATGAAATCCAGACTCTCATATTCTACCTCTGTGGCTCTGGGCAAATTAACCCTGTCTAACTTAAGCTTCCTCCTCTGTAATGAGTTTGTGATAACAGTACCATAACGTATAGAGTTTTGAATCTTAAATAATGTCACATAGGTAAAGCATAATGCCTGGCACATTGCAAGTTTTAATATGTGTTAGATATTACTATTATCAATAATTGGATAGTGGAAAAAGCAATCTAATTAATATATCATATTTCATTGACTCTAAGATGAGCATCTTAGCATTTTGGAAGTGGATGTACATGAAAAATCTATAGCATCATCTGTCCCGTGACAGTACTGGGGTTGGGGAAATCCTGGAGGAGGTAAAAGATGCTCACAGTTTCTGTTGCTGTGTAACACGTGATTAGGAATGCATTTCACACCTAAGTACTTGTTCAGGTATGCAGCCTGGGGCACTTTTGTCACTAATGTCTATAACTGAGTTTTAAAATGTACTCAGTTGAGGATTCTGTAGAGCAACATTAAATGAATTTTATGAATTTTTAGTGTTTGGGGAATAATTCATTATTTGAATGATTTCACCTACAATTGTCCATATTTACTGTGCTTTTGTATATTCATCAAGGTCTCTTCCCATTTCTTTTCTGTTTTGACTCCTATCAAATTTCTAATTTAATTTTAATCATATAACTCTTAATCTCTATATGAAATAAAGTGATTCAATTCTCCAGTACATGGATATATTGCTAGTAGAAAAGATTCCTTAAACATTTATATGTCTCAAATCTTTTCAATATTTGTACTAGTGTGATGATATTTTGTGACTTATTTTGGCTCTTAGGAACACAAATCTCAGGTTTTGAAAGGGATTTTAAGCATCCTTTTGACAAACTATCCAACTGAAGGTTCAAAAACTGTTTAGATAACAATAATAAAATAGATCATATTTTGACATGTGATTTACACAAAATTAAAATCTAATTCCAAGTGGTTTAAATTTTGTTATTATGTTTTCTATTTGCCAAATCCCTTCCCTCATATTAGGACTGCTAAAAGAGAACCGAAAAAAATTTAAGACAAAAGAGTTTCTTCAGGTGACAATTAGACATTTTCTCATTTAATAAATCAAAAGCATAGTTGCAGTTGTGCTCACTACCAGAAGGACAATGCTAATTTAGATGAGTCAATGGTGAAGTACTAGCTCATTTAGAAGCCAGGTAAATACTCTTTTGAAGGTCTGTGAATTTTAAAAACTGTCCAAGAACAGGGTGTTTGTAGGTGCTGTGATCTGATCTGCAGGGAATTTGGGAAATGTTATACAATCCATATGCAAATGGGGCTACTACATGCTAAGGCACATCATTATTCCAGAGTTCTGAACATCTGCCCTAGCTTCTGCCAACAGACAGGCATCAAGTTATACTCAGTCTATTATTTGAGCACTTTCAATGATGATCACTTAGAAAAATGCAGTTAATAAACTTAAATTGTCTTAACTTTTACGATATATTTTTCATATTTGCAATAGCCAAGACATGAAAACAACCTAAGTCTCCGTCAATAGCTAATAGATAAATTAAATGTAAATACATATAATGAAATACTATTCAGCCATAAAAAGGACAAACTGCTGTTTGTGACAAAATGGATGGAGCCTGAGGTAAGTAAGCTGGACAGAGAAATATGGTATGATCATATTTATATGAGAAATCTCCTCTCCTTGCCCCTTCAAAAAACCTCCCCCCCCACACAAAAAAACTCATGGAAAAAAACATATTTTTGTAAATATATGAGGTGATGATTGTTAACTAAACTTATTGTGGTTATCATTTCACAAGATATGTAAGTCAAATGATCATGCTGTACACCTTAAACTTGTATAGTGCTGTGTATAATTTATTTCAAAGAAAATTGGAGAAAAAGATGTATTGCAGAATACCTGGAAAATATTATAAATATAGAGATGAAAATAAAAATTTCCTTAATTTTATTCCTAAGGAACCAGTCTTTTATTTCATGCCTATTTATATTCATATTGTGAACGTAGTTTATATATTCTGTTATAATATTTTCCTAAATATAACGTGTCATATGATCTATAAACATATTTCCATATACAACATTATAAATCTCCACAGACTGTCATGTAGGTGCAACTTAATATATTTAACCCATCTCCTAGACCTAGATGGATGCGTGCTTCCACTTTATTCATATTGCAAATAATGATAAATATTCTTGTCCATAAATCCTAGGGTGATATTTGATGATGATATGATACATTTCTAGAAGTGAATGGCAGAAGCACTGGTTGTAAATATTTTCAAACCTTTTAAGTCACACTGCCTTGTACACAGCTCATATCATTCTGCAATTCCATAAGCAGAATGAGGATAGCTTTCCTCTGTAACATGCTAGAACACAATGGAACTTTATTGTCATTTTGATTTGTATTATTTTTACTATTTGTGAGGCTAATGATTTTTCATGCATTCATTGGAAATTTGTACATTATTATGGATTGCTTGTATGTGTCATTTATCCATTTTTTTTCTAATGAAATTTTTGCCTTCAAACTCATATGTAAGAATTCTTTACAGTTAAGGATATAATTTGCTTCCCATAAATGGTGGAAATATTTTCCCAGTTTATTGTTTTTCCTTAATTGTTAAATATCTTCTGATGTTATTTGATTTTAAAAGTGTTTATATACTCACATCTATGTATCCATTTATATTTTCCTTTGTTTCTATTCTATAAAGGTATTTTCCAACTCAAGAGCCATAAATATTCATGTGTATTTTTCCATATCTTTTAAATTTTTTAATATTTAGCACATGCAATTTATTTGATTATTTTTTAAAAAGGGAAATACATATATATTATTTTAAAAATATTTTCTTTTTTTTATAGAAAGAGAAAGGGAGAAAGATAGAGGGATAGAAACATCAATGAGAGAGACATCATCGATCAGCTACCTCCTGTACGCCCCCCACCAGGGATGGAGCCCACAACCCTGCATGTGCCCTGACTAGAAATTGAACCAGGGACCTCTTGGTTCATGGGTTGACATCCAACCACTGAGCAACATCGGCTGGGCTATTTGATTATTAATGACCTAATTTTAGTTTATTTTTTGCAAAATGCTTCATAGGTTAATATTGTCTCATTTACTGAATAATAATGAGGTTTATCACAATGGTCACTTTTAAAGCTTCACCAACTGGCTCAGGTAAAGTACTTACCTAAAGTGAAATAAAATGAAATCATTTAAATTTTTTATTCTTACCTTCCAAAATTGGCTGGAAGATATTCAAGAAAGGCGTCATTCAGATAGAGCTGGGTCAGGTTTAGAAGCTGTGTGAAGCCATCAGGGAGTCTAGAGAGAAGTTAAAGGTTTAGTTACTGCATCAATATTGCCATAGAAACAGAACAAGACTATATATCTCCAAGGAAAAAACTAGAAATGTAATACATTTTTCAACTCTCCTTCGGTATTACAGTAATGGAAGAATTTATTGAGCATGTTGTTACAGCTTGAAAATTTTTCCTGCTATTAAAGTAAATGACAGTCACCCACCTCCTTGCCACTCTACTATGCTGAGACTATGTCACTGCGAAAGCCAACAGCATCACTCAGTGTTGCCCTAACCTTAAGCACACCAGCAAGACTTTATTAAGTGGAATTTTCAAGTTGTATGCCATGATTTTTAAATTTTAAATGTAATGTTCTTTATCAATGGAACACTCACATATATAGTCAGGCAAGGCTATCTACTTACTCTTTCACGTAGTCATTAAAATTTGCCTACATTTTGTTATAATGATGAATAAAGCTGCCCAATATGAAAAGGAAGGAGTCTTTTTCCCTTTAATTGATAATTTTTTTAAAAGTAGGCTCATCATGCATGTCTCTTACAACTCAAGTTGGTCTAATTCTTATTCACTGAAAATTAGCAAGAACATGGAAACAATAATAAACAAAATCCTAAAGGCTTTTAGGAGTCATCAAAAGAGTTGAGAAAATATCCTTTGGGGAAAATTTTCCAGTTAGATAAAATAATTATTAAAATATTTACATCTTTTGCACCAAAAACATTTAACCCATAATTTTTCCAGGATACTTTTTCCTAAAAGGATGTTGACTTTTTTCCTATAATTAAATTTCTATTTAGAGATCCATGGTCTAGAAGAGATTATGCTCTTTTAAAAATATACTCCTAAATAGTGTTCAAATTTTCCTCCCCCTCAAATAATGACTTATCTCCCTACTTGCATTTACTGGCAGGATTACTTAAAGAACTACCTATCCACAGGCCTTTTACAACCTCTTGAGGCATTGTTTTCTGACACATGCCCCAACTCAGTTACTGAAACTGCAGTCACCAAAGCCTTCTGACTTAAGTCCCAATTCCACTAACTTCATTTCACTTTGCATCCCACACTGCCTAGCAACAGTTGCCATCATTAATTGTTCTCCCCTTCTTGGCTTCTAGTAGACCTCTTTTCCTGCTTCTCCTCCTACCCCTGGGACATTGTATCTCAGTTTCACTCCATGGTTTTTCTTCCTCTATCCAATCTTTTGTTATAAAATGTTTTCTGTACATAAATTAATATGTGTACCCATGATATAATTTAACAAATACCTTTAAAATCCTCTGGGTGCCCCTCCCTGACTACAATTTTCTATTTGCCCCACAAATTCCTGAATGATGTTTACTATTCTGTTTTGTTAAAAGTTTTAAAAAGTTTTACTATACCTCTTTAAATACTTAAAAAAGTAATGACTTTGTATGTTTTTGGACATTATATAAATCCACTTATACTATGACTATTTTGACACAGTGAAACTGAGATATAAATGTCCCAGGGGTAGGAGGAGAAGCAGAAAAATTGGCATAATTAGTGAAATTCATCCATTTTGATGTAGATGACCGATCACCATTGCATCGCATCCTGTTGTATGAGTATATTATGATGCATGTATTATTCTTCTGTTAAAGAACATTACAGTTGTTTCTGGTGTCTTGTTTGTTTTCTATTATAACCATTCCACCTGTAAATATTATTGAACATATACCCTTTTGTACAAGAGATTATTTAAGTTATACCCCTGGTTACATGAGGTTAATGTCCCTGAGGGACAGTCCTCAACTAATGACTGGCAGGAGCATAACTGGCTCAGCTCCCTCACAGGTGTCTTGCACTGTTGGCCAGAGCTCCCCCGAGAGATCAAGGTCCAATGGTCCACACTAGTAAATAGCTTGACAACACACCCTCTATAAGTATTTCCTGAGACCAACTCCTAAATATACTGCTTGAATTATATTCTAAACACCTGCTTTTGGGGAATATAGACTAAACACAATTAAAACTTTTATATTAATTTGTAGGAATTTTTTACACATTCTTAGGATCCTAATCATATATTGATTATTTTTGCTGAAAATATCTTGTTCCAGTATGTACTTTGGAGTTAAATTGTTTGCATATGGCTTCATGGAGGGTTTCCATAAATTTTCTCTAATAGAGATATAGGATTCACGAAAGTTACAAAAGAAGGAGAAAAGAGGCAGAGAACAGTGAGAGTTTTTTATAATACAGAGGTAAGAATTCATCTGAGATTGGTGACCAAAGAGTTCTAAAGAAAATATTTCATGTATGAGGTTATTAGGAGTTACGATTTGAGAATATCAGCAGGAAACAGGATTTCACAGTGGTTCTCAACCTGTGGGTCACTACCCCTTTGGTGGTCGAACGACCCTTTCACAGGGGTTGCCTAAGACCATCCAGCAGATTAGAAAAAGCAGAGGCACCCAAGGAAGTATTAAAAGCAGGGTGCGGGAGAACCAAGATGGCGGCATAGGTTAACGCCGGAGTTTGCTGCCTTGAACAACTACTTCAAAAGTGAAACTAAAAGATGGAACGGACATCACCGTTGCTTAAAATATTACAACAAGTAGTACATTTGTCTCCTTTTTTCTCCCCCTTTTCCTTTCCCCAGCCTCCTCTACCCATCCAGTGTCTTGTGTCCATTGGTTATGCTTATATGCATGCATACAAGTCCTTTGGTTGATCTCTTACTGCCCAACCCTCCCCAGCCTTCCTACTGTAGTTTTACAGTCTGTTTAATGCTGCTCTGCCTCTGTATCTATTTTTGTTCATCAGTTTATATTGGTCTTTATTATCCATAAATGAGTGAGACCATGTGATATTTTTCTTTCACTGACTGGCTTATTTCACTTAGCATAATGCTCTCCAGTTCCATCCATGCTGTTGCAAATGGTAAGAAATTTTTCTTTTTTACAGCAGCATAGTATTCCATTGTGTAGATGTACCACAGTTTTCTAATCCATTCATCCGTTGATGGGCACTTAGGTTGTTTCCAAATCTTAGCTATGGTAATTGTCACTGTTCTCAAAACTGCCTGGTACTGGCACAAGAACAGACATATAGATCAATGGAATAGAATAGAGAACCCAGAAAACGACCCAAACCACTATGCTCAATTAATATTTGACAAAGGAGGCAAGAACATACAATGGAGTCAAGATAGTCTCTTCAATAAATGGTGCTGGGAAAATTGGACTGATACATGCAAAAAAATGAAACTAGACCACCAACTTACACCATACACAAAAGTAAACTCAAAATGGATAAAGGACTTAAATGTAAGATGGGAAACCATAAAAATACTAGAGGAATCCAAAGGCAATAAAATCTCAGACATATGTCAAAGCAATTTTTTCACCGATACATCCCCTAGGGCATTGGAAACGAAAGAGAAAATAAACAAATGGGACCACATCAAAATAAAAAGCTTCTTCACAGCAAAAGAAACCATCAACAAAACAAGAAAGCCCACTGCATGGGAGAACATATTTGCCAATGTTATCACTGATAAGGGTTTAATCTCCAACATTTATAAAGAACTCAAACAACTTACCAAAAGGAAGATAAACAATCCAATCAAAAAATGGGCAAAGGACCTAAATAGACACTTTTCGAAAGAGGACTTTCAGAAAGCCAAGAGACATATGATATCATGCTCCAAGTCACTAATCATCTGAGAGATGCAAATCAAAACAACAATGAGGTACCATCTCACACCTGTCAGAATGGCTATCATCAACAAATCAACAAAGGACAAGTGCTGGAGAGGATGCGGAGAAAAAGGAACACTTGTGCACTGCTGGTGGGAATGCAGACTGGTGCAGCCACTGTGGAGAACAGTATGGAGTTTCCTCAAAAAGTTAAAAAATGGAACTTTCACTTCTAGGAATATATCCCAACAAACCAGAAACACCAATCAGAAAGGATATATGCATCCCTAATGATCTAGTTTTATACTTTGAAACATATTTGAAAAACATGTAAATAAAATAGTCAATTTTATTTATTTCTAATTTTATGGTACAAATTTGTAGTTTCTTAAAGAACAGCTGCCCCATTTGTCAGTATCACCATTTTCAGAGGAACATTCAAGGAGCAGCAAGAAAGAAGACAAATAAATTTGATGAAGATGGGTTGTCTTTATCCTCCTCCAAGCTATTCAATGAAATCTAACATTTTATGCTTAAGTGAAGGGACTCCCAATAATGAAATGGTTTTACTATCTTAAAACAACTGGCACATTTGATTTATTAAAAAATTCAAAGAATAGAATTTTTATATATATTAGTAAATAATTCTCTCTGCTAAGAAAACACTTTCATTTTATTACTTTCTGAACTTAAAAGTGACATGCTCAAACTTTAACAAAGGGTAATAGAACCAGACACCATATGATTTAGAGGTTGAGCACATGGGCATCAATGTCAAAAGACCTGGGTTTGAATCATAGCTCTTTCAATTATTATCTCTGTGACCTCTGCAACTGTAAGACTCAGTTTCCTTGTTTTTAAAATGATGATGCTAACATCCACTTCCAGAGTTGTTCCAATGATTAAATGATTAAATGCCCCACAGACAAGAGCACAGTAAATGGGAGTAATTATATTACTTTGATGTGGCATAGTATTGTTTTTATTCTGATCTTTCAATATTAACTATAACCCTAATTTAAATATTTTTATTAATGCTAATTTTATTGTTGGAATAGGCAAATTAAGATAGGCTGTGGATACTCATTTTTCAACATTTTCTTTTCTAATTCCATTCACTACTTTAGATGTTAAATAAAAACATTATTACAAGCATTTAAGCTCCACTAGAACAGTTAGACCAAATTTAATTACAGGTTTTACATGCTGTGATTAAGAAGCTATTCTGTGATTGATTTACTGCCTGATGCTTCTGTTTCATTCTTTAATCTCCTTTCTACTATGCATTTTCCCTTTTATCAGGTGTACAAAGTTAAATACCATGTATTTACCACTT